TTAATAGCTGAAGCTGTGCAGAGATCATTCCTCTTTAGGTCCAAAGATAATAACTTTAGTTTGGTTTCTGCTCTGCTCAAGAAAGTTATAGCATATCCACATATAAATAAACCATTAATAAATCTTCAGCAGATGATGCAACAATCCCAGCAGCATGATGGACAACAAAAACATTCAGCATTTCACAAACACAAAATGGAATTTTAGCCGATTTTCTCCACATCTGTAGTTCCTACAACATTCAAGTATGAATGTTATTTTTAGACAGAGGCTTAGTGGATCATTTTTAATTATTTATTTAAGGAGCTATTCAAAAAGGCTCTCAATATTGATTTTATTTAATGCTTCACTGGTGCCCAGTTTACAGACTCTCCACATTTAAAACATGCAAAGCAAAATGGCCGCATAAAAATCCATTAAATTTTCAAACTCAACCAGGATAAAGAAGTCGCTGTTTTTTTTCCCAAGCTTTACAGATAAAAGCAACTAAATAAAAAAATTCCCTATTACATAATCAATATATCTTCATTATTTATCAATAAGTGCAGAAAATGACATGATATTGAGGTCAACAAAAGCCACACAGGCATAAATGTTACACATGTAAATGGAAGACGATAGTAAAGAAGCACCAAACCCCCAGTAAGCACCTGCCTTAATAAGGTTCATGTGACACCAAATATTGATTTTATTTACATGCTCTTCTGTTTATTGTCTTATTAGTAACTGATAAACAATTATAATATATCCTTAAGAAAGTATCTAAATTTTATAAAGATTTTCACACAGACATAAAAATTCATTCTACTATTTTTGATTATTGTCATAACTTAGTTTAGTCCCACGACATAAAACAATCCCCAGATTTAAAATAGGTAAACCCAGTCGTATGTTCCTGAAGGAATCAGATTCATGTTCATATTTAGCCACCAGGGGGCAGCCTTTTTGTTGACTTACACTGAGCCGTCGCTCAGCATGCAGACCTTAATATCTGCAGGCAGCCCTCATCTGATCAGTACATCTTTGATCGGCAGAAGAAAACGTGAGATGAATGTGAGATACAGTCAGTTTCAAATCATGATTAACCCATAAATTATTAATAAGTACTGTGTAACGCCACTTAAAAATCACTCAAATCAAACTCTTATTTCCACACTACCTAAAACAATTATAAGTCTCCAGATTTATTAAAAAGTACAAGAAGTAAAAACAGATAAACCCAGTCATATTTCTCTGGTCAGATTCATTCTTGTTTTAGCCACTAGGGGGTAGCTGGTTTTTAACCTGCACTGAGCTTTTGCTCAGCATGCAGACCTTTATGTCTCCAGGCAGCCCTCGTCTGATCAGTACATCTTTGATCTGCAGAAGAAAACATGAGATGAATGTCAGATACAGTCAGTTTCAAGTTATGAAATACATTCCCCTCCAAAAGTATTGGAACAGCAACACAAACACACTGAAGACATTTGGGTTTAACTTCAAAACACGACCATGACACAAGAGTGAAGAATGTCAGTTCTTATTTCCTGATTTCTACATGTTGATTTGTTAAGTAAATTATGATATCTTACCACTTAAAGTGAATAAGTATTTAATATTGGGTGGCATAACCTTTGCTCGCAATGACTGCCTCAGACCTGCCACCCATCGACTTCACCAGGCGATTACATTCTTCATTTGTGATGCTATTCCAGGCTTTTATCCTTCAGTCTCCTCTTCAGGAGCTGAAATGCATTCTCTATTGGATAAGCTCAGGTGGCTGACTTTGCCACATTTTTCCCTTGATGAAGTCCTTTGTCATTGGCAGTGTGTTTTGGGTCATTGTTTTGGGTCATTGTCCTGCTGCATGGCAAAATCCCTCCCAATTAGTTTGGATGCATTTATTTGTAAATTGGCAGATAAAATGTTTCTGTACACTTCAGAACTCATTCTGCTGCTACCATCAGTAACATCATCAATAAAAAATTAATGAGTCTGTTCCAGAAGCAGCCATGCACACCCAAGCAATGACGTTACCGCCACCGTGATTCACAGATGAGTTTGCGTGTTTCTAATCCAAAGCAGTTATTTTTTTCTCCACCTTTTGGCCTTTTCATCACTTAAAATCCATAAAATTGCATCCCAGAAATTTTGTGGCTCATAAGTACTTCTTTGCAAACTGCAATCTGGCCTTTCAATTCTTACTACTGATGAGTGGTTTACATTTTTGGGTATAGGCTCTATATTCCTGCTCTCTGAGTCTTCTTTGATCAGTGGATTGAAAAACCTGCACTCTGGAGATCATTGGTGATGTCACATACTGATGTTTCCTTCACAGCTCTCACAGTATTTCTATCAGCTAATGTTGTTTTCTTTGGCCTGCCTGTTCAACGTCTGCTTCTCAGTACATCAGAAGTTTCTTTCTTATTAAGAACATTCCAAATTGTCATGCTTGCTATATCTAATGTATTTCCAATGGCTCTGATTGATTTCCCTTCTTTTCTCAGCTTCAAAATGGCTTGCTTTCCCCTATGGACAGCTCTCTGGTCCTGCTGTTGGTTTGTCCTCTTTAACAAAATCTGCTTCATAGGTTTAAGCGCAGGTCATAAAGTAGACAGGTCAAGCAAAGCTATTTAATGTTTGAATAATTAATGTTAAAGGCAACACCTGGTCATCAAAAAACACCTGTCAGTCACATGTTCCAGTAATTTTGCTCACTTGAAAAATGGGTGGATTTAAACAATGGGCAGTATGTCCTGCTGTTTAACACATCTACATGTAAGAAACAGGAAATAAAAGCTGGCATTCTAAACTTTTGTGACATGCTGATGTTTTGATGGTGATATCAATATAGGGGGCTGTATTGACTCTTTACATGTGACGTCACGCTCTCCAGAACTCCACTCAAATTATGCTTAGACTACATTAGTTTGGATTAAACTCAGTTTGTGATAGTTTGTGTTTAAATCATTACTAACCGCTTTTTCGATTTCATCTTTCTTGTCTTTCAGTGACAGCTTACTTGAGATCGTCAGTTTCAGAACCATATGATAAGCTGGAAGAACGAGAGATCAACATTATAAAGAACTACTTCATGTGATTTTCAGTCCTGTTTTCATCCCACTTACATGTTTTGGGAGGAGGACTTGCAGTTGCTATGGAGGGAACTGGGATAACAGCAGCAGAAAAATCATGAATTTAGGAAATAAAAAGTAAGATAAAGTCAATAATAAAAATATAGACTCACTGTTTCCAACCCTCACAAGGACACATCGAAGCTCAGACTGGTAGACAGCACTGGAGGTACTGTGGAGATAATTTTAGCAAAATGCTTTAATATTAAACTCTTTTTGAAAAGGCAATAAAATAACGTTCAACATAACCATAAAGGGTACATATCATGCAAAATCTACTTTCTTAGCCTTTAAATACGTGTTTTTGTGTATTGTATTTTTCAGACTATAAGGCGCTACTTTTTTCCCACGCTTTGAACTATGCGGTTTATAGCCTGGTGCGGCTCTTCTGTGGATTTTTGTTCAACCACCAGGGGGCTCTTTAGCAGGAAGTGAATCATTGGAAGTCAAAATTGGAAATCAAAGAAGAAAGTACTAATTTTAATTTAGAATAAGCACATTCTAGCAACAGGCTCATAACTCTCATCAGGGAAACAACGGGAAGAAGTTCATATGATGTAGCTTTGAAGGCCATCGTTCTGGCAGTACAGATCGATGGCAGTACAGATCGATGGCAGTACAGATCGATAGCCGCTGCACGTAAGCTCAGCGTGAACGAATCCATGGTTCGGCATTGGAGATGAAGGGCTGCTGCGTCCTCAATAGCAGATTTAAGGATGCTCCCTCTGCTGCGTCCTTGTGGAAAACCAAGAGTGGCGGAGATACCAGCGGCATAAAACCCGGTGCAGTTTATGTATGTACGTTTCCAGTTTGTTTGTTTTTTAAACTTTGTAGGTGCGGCGTTTAGTGAGGTGCGCTCTATAGTCCAGGAAATACGGTACTTTGAGTGTCTAGGAGTAGAAAACTGTATTCTCTCCCAGTGTGGCATAGTGTATCTTGATATTCCTTTTGGGTTATATTTTGCCGTGGAACTGCTAAACAAGGTCATGACTTTCATAAAGTTCGTTTTATGAATCTGCCATTTTTTTTCTGCACAGTGATTTTGTAGTCCAAGATCAGTTATGTCTAAGTTGCAAGTAGACAAGCCAAAATGTAAAGTTCTGAAAACTCACCAAACTTGCCAGATGCATCAGCTTTGCATGAAATTTACGTTGTTGCAAAAATTGCAACAGAAACGGATTGATACCCTGTGCATCGATCTTACTTTATCGTAAAGGCATGAAATTTGGTACACTTGTAGAACTCCCCAAAATGTATGGAAAAGTCTCTTAATGTCATGGTCTGCATGGAAAACAGGAAATTGGCCATTTTGGACTTAAGTCCCAATTTTCACGGCATTTGATTGAACTCCTCCTAGGGATTTTGATCAACCAGGTTCAAACTTGGTAAGATTGTTCATAAGGCATGGTCGAATAAAAGTTATTAAATCGGTGAGTTTTTGTGCATGCTGAAGGGGCATGCTGGAGCTGTGAGTGCTGTACAAGGCTGCTCGCAGCTTTAATTTCCCTTTTCTTTTTCTCTGTAAAGTCTGTTTTTGGAGCTCTTATGGGCCACTGCTTCAGCAACCTCCACCAGTATCAAGAGGGATTTTCCAAAATACATTATGTATCACTGAAGGTGAAATTAATTCTTTTAATTTTGTACTTAAGTACATTTCAAAACCTGTACTTTATGTCTTTTACAAAATATCAGTCTTTTTTCATAGATGTTTCTGTACTTTCTAAGTCAAAAATGTGAGGATTTTTGACATTTCTGATCAGATCAGATACTGACTTTGCCTGCACAATAAAACAGATGGGATGCGTTTCTTCATCATCACTGGGAGACGGCCTCCATCTCAGGGTGAAATTTCCTGAACCAGATGAACTCTTGACCATATTGACCCCTCCGCTGAACAGCAGCTCAGTGATCCTTTAACACACAGGAAGCACATGAGTCTGTTTGGTTAAATGTGAAAAAAAGCCCTTAAACCAGCCTTTAAAATTATCTTCACAATTCTCTGACAGCAAAACACAATTTTGGCTAGATTATCCATGCAGGTTTTGCTGTCATATTGGTAGGAATTAAAATGTTATTAGTAAAGATCAAATTTGGGATTGTTACAGTGTATTATTTTTTAACTTTCCTCTGATTAGAAACAACATTTATTTTCTACTCACTCAGACTGAGTCGCCTCTGCTCTGATGTTGATTTCTATCATCTCATTAACGTCTATGAAGAACTGAGCTCCATGTTCAGGAGTTGGAGGCAGAAACCTGGGCAGATATTCACCTGCTGTGCAGGACGGAGCTGCAGGATCCACTGGAGCAACGCAGGGAAAAATAATGCAGATGAACTAATGAGACGCATTAAAATGGTTTGTCTACTAAACAAGCAAATACGCAGTTAGTTTAAAAGATAAATACAGGATCAGATTTATCCATCCGAGTGGTTTTTATAATAACTGATTCATTGTTAAGTTTCTGTATCTGGAGTTTTAAAAATCTGATGTTATTAATTATTGTTTGTTATCGATTAGCTTTAAACAGATAGCTATTGAACATTAAATTTATTGACACCAGTGTTGCTCTTCGTGATGTAAAAGAAGCTGATTGAAACATGAAATCACACCTTTGAAAACAAACTGGACAGAGATTTGGCTCATGGCAGTGCCGGGGCTCAGTGAATACGTTACACCGTCGTAACGGAACATAGTGATGGTCTGTCTGGGAAAATCCTCCATCATCAGCTGAACTGCATATGAACCTTCATTGCTGCTGCTGGTTGGACTGAATGATAGAGAACAAGACTGGAAGAGAAGAGAGAGAGATTAACTATGTTATATTTAATGTTCTCTGTTATGGATTCATGTTGCTTTTGTTCATATAACAATACTTGTTTTTATTTAAAAAGTTTCAGAGCAATGTTTCATCTTTAGTTGTTTATAGTTAAAATCAGTAAATGTTGTTTTATTAACTGCAAACATTTTCTATTGTTTTCCTGTAACCAACATTTATTACTCACTGATGACAGACTGAGGACAGGCGGCCATATGCAGGTGTAGCACTCATAGTTATTGGGATCGGATGCATATCTGCATTCAACATGGTCTCCGTCAGGGTCAAAGGTCAACAAGTTGATATTCCTCTGACAGTTTGAGGGAACTCTGAGAGAGAAAACAAATATCACAAAGTCACAAAGAACAAAAAATCTGCTCAAATTATTTGATTTATGTCGGGAATCTTCAGAGTCTTGACTGATTTGTACTTCAGTGTTTTTCCTTTAACATTTTTTCAGTTATTTTGGTTACAGATAAACTCAATTCACATCGTTTGATTGTTATTTGGAAGCGATTTCTAGTTATTAAAGCTTCATGGTTAGATTTTAAAATAAACAAATGACAAAATGTCAACAAAGTAAAACTACAGTTTATATTAAAAAGACACCATAAGTTTCCAGGTACTTGTAAACAGGATACAAAATTCCTGAATTACCTCATAACAGGGAGGATGCCGGTCTTTGGTGACGAGTTTGGTCTGTTTATGTCAGATCGATTTCTCAGATCATATATTATCCGAAATCGGCCAAATGAAACGCCGTTTCTGTTTTCTGTCCAGTTTCCAGTCGCCCATCTTTGATAGAAGATATTGGGAAGATTTCTGATGTTACTCAGAGTTTCTAAAACACAGAAAACCTTACAGAGCCGCAGAAAACTGACTGGAGACTTAATTCTTTAAAAGAACTAACATTCAATAGGAATTTTAGCGTCTTGGTAACAACTGAAACATGTTAGATATTTTTGTATGATGTTGAGATTCAGTCACCCATTCTTATGATAGTATAAAGTCGGACTTCCCCATGCCCAGGTCTCCTCTCGCAGGCACCATTCACCGCTGCTTTCATCAATCTTAGGACAGCCAGGACAATACCACCATGTCTCAAGCTCCTCATATGAGCTGTAGGCAAACTTAAAGCGACGCAGAGTCTGCAGATTTAAAGTGAAGAGGCGTTGGGAACAATATCATTTTTTTAAAAACGAACCATGAAATAAAGTTTAAAAAAAAAAAGCAACTTACTGTATATCTGTTTCCTTGTATGTTTTTGGTGGTGTGGGTAAACACACCACCATAATAATCAGCTTCTGTCCAGCTGCTTATCATCAGCAGCAGCACAGAGAGCAACATGGTGAACGAGTCAGTTCTGCTCAACTAAGATTGTATCATCAGAGACGGGCAACTTTATACGGTCACTCCTGATTCATTCACACTGTTTTCTGTTGGAAACGTGGAAAAAAACATGTACCGTATTTACATAATGGTCCGGGAAATGTCAGGTTCCTGATTCAGAATGATCGGAAAAACATTTCTTTACACGAAGAGGATACAATTTGCTTTGCAAAACGTGAAAAACAAATCTATTTTTGGCTTCCTTTTCATGCAACGAAGTCATTAAGCAGTGTGTGCTTAATATCAATCTGTAAATGATAAAGATTATTTAAAGATATCGATGCATTTAGTTTGATCTTCTGCCTGCTGACTATATAATTCAGTAAGTTTAATTCTTTCTCCTTTTTGTCTGGACAATTCAGTGAACATGCCGTTCATATCGCATGATGCTTATTGAACACTTCCTTGTTTGTTTACATGTGTTTTGCTCACAGGTGTGTGGAAATCCCCTAACAGATTAACTTTACTTCCATTTTATTTACTGCTACTTTTTATTTACTATGTTATTGTTTGAAAATATTTACTCTTTTAAGTGTTCAACATGGCTTTCATTCTTTCTCTCTGTAATATGATAACATCATTTAGTCTTTATATAGCCTTCAACCTGTAATCACATCTGGCCAAAGTGAACAGGTAAATTCTGATACGTCTCTTGATATTTTCTGTTTGGAGATATTTGAGTCACTTGAACCACCAGAGGAGTTAAGATGCGAAACAAATGAAGTTCTAGGGAACCTCTGGGTTCTTATGGATAGTTTATGGTTCTAAAACTGGTGACTGTCTGGATTTCATGGGGTTGTGTTAAAGAGATGCGAATAAGCAAAGTAGTTGGTTTATGGCACAATATGTTCTCTTTATTCAGTTCTGGGAAACAGAACCTGCTTCCTTCCTGGATGATGGTGTTATGGCTGCACATTTGCATGCTGTATAAACTTGAACATAGCTGTTAGAAAAGATGCTGACGTGCTTCAGAGTAGTAAAACTACAATCATGATTAATTTCCAGGCAGATTAAAATATCAAGGTTTAAAAATGTGGTGGGTTCACTCCAGGTGGTTCTGACCACAACAGTGAGCCAGTTGATCCACCGACTGTCTGCATGCAGACTCATCTCTGTCCTGGATCAGAACCATGACAGTGGCGTCACCTGCAAACTTCAGGAGCTTCAAAGACGAGTCTGCTGATGTCATCAGTGTAGCGACAGGAAAGAGGAGACAACTTACCACTGGGGGGCGCCGGTGTGAATGGGTGCAGATGGAGGTTGTCACTGGTGAACATTCGCCTGATGCCAGCAGAACAAGGCGCTTTGTTGTTTTTACTCTGTTTTTCCATTATTATTATTATTATTATTATTTATTTATTTATTTATTTATTTTATTATTATCCTCTGAAACTGCAGTCTACACTCCAAATCTTATTACAACTTTTATTTAGTATCCAGGTTCAGTACCCACATGGCTGCTCAGACACAAATATTTAGATTCACCTGTAGGTGGCGCTGTGGCAAACTTGTATTGCGGCAATATAAGTTAAGAAAAAATAAACAAAAAAAGTTATGGTGCCGAATTTTTGCCCAATTAGCATGTAATAGCTAATTCAATTTGAAACCGTAACAAATTGCACAATTTCATTCAAACTACATTTATAATGTTTACAGGACGATAACTCCCACATTCCAGTTTGTCTTTCCCTTTCTTCAGTATGACTGAAATCACTGCCTCTCGCCATGAGGGGGGAATATTTTTATTTTCTAAAACCCAGATGAATGTTTTCTCTAATGTTGGAATTAGTTGGTCTTGCATAATTTTGTACCATTCTGTAGTGAATCCAACAGTCTCTGGAGATTTTCCCTTTTTAGTTCTCTTGTTTGCTGATTGAATTTCCTTTTTTGTAATTTTGGATATTAATTTCTTATTTTGTTCATCAGTGATCTTTGGAAGATTGATCTTTTCCAGAAAGGCATCGATCTGTTTGTCACTACTTCTCTGAATATAGTATTTTATAGTATTTTTGAAAGCAGTTTTTGATTTTCTCCGGATTAGCTTCTATTTCCATTGTTACACCGTTTCTTATTTTATGTATAGTTCTGCAAGCTTGTTGTTTTCTTAACCTAGATGTTAAAAGTTTCAGGGATTTCCCATCTGCCTTATTGTTGCTTTATAAAAATAAGCTTTTGGGGGGGTTCCTGAGACTAATGTTCATTGTAATGATTTTTATGTGTTTGTGGTGTACAGCGCTTTGGCCAGCTGTGTTGTTTTAACATGCTTTTTAAAATAAACTTATATTATATGAGGGGGAAACATTGTCAGGTTGTGTGATTTCCTGGACTTCTGACCCTAGAAGAGCGTTTTCTTACTTTCATATTTATTTAATGTGTCCAGGATTACAAGAACCAGTAGGACCTGATCTCGACCACCGTATGGAAAATCTGTGGCTCTTACAACATCCAAGTATTAATGTTATATTTAGACAAGGGGTCAGTGGTTAATTTTGAAATATTTATTTATTTAAAGAGCTGCTTTTAAAGACAATCAAATAAATTCACACATCAGATTATAGACTCTCTACATACAAAACATGCAAAGCAAAATGGCCGCATAAAAACCACATGTAAACACCTGCCCTGATTAATAGCTCAGGTGAAACCAAATTTTGATTTTATTTACATTTTCTTCTGTCTTATTATTAATAACTGATAGACAATTATAACTTATCTTTATGACAGTATTATGATTTTAAAAAAATTCACACAGAAATAAAAATTCTCTCTATTTTTGCTTAATGTCATAACTAAGTTTAGTCCGACTACCTAAAACAACCATAAGTCCCAACGAGAAGGTACAGGAAGTGAAAACCAATAAACCCTGTTATATTTTACTGCAGGGATCAGATTCATTCTCATGTTTAGCCACTAGGGGGCAGCTGCTTTTTAACCTGCACTGAACCGTCGCTCAGCAGGCGGACCTTTATGTCTGCAGGCAGCCCTCGTCTGATCAGTACATCTTTAATCTGCAGAAGAAAACATGAGATGCATGTGAGACACAGTCAGTGGTGAATTATAAAATATACTGAACAGAATCTGATCAACATTAAAAACATCAACAGATTTTAACTGCATCACTGCAGCAAAACCTCAGGTTATGATTTAACATTTGAGTGAAATTAGTTTGGTTTAAACTCAGGTTGTGATGGTTTGTGTTAAAGTCCAGGACATCACTGACCGCTTTCTCCATTTCATCCTTGTTGTCCTTCAGTGGCAGCGTAGTCGAGATCTTCAGCTTCAGAACCGTAAGACGAGCTGGAAGAACAAGAGATCATCATGGTAGAAAGAACTACTTCCTGTTACTTTCAGTCCTGTTTTCATCCGACTTACATGTTTTGGGAGGAGGACTTGGAGTTGTCAAAGGGACGGCAACAGTGGTTGAAGTCACAGCTAAGATA